CAGCCTGGACCAGTTCCAAGGAACTTAGGACTACGCTGCGGCCCTCAGACAAAGTTGGCAAGCCAACGGCCCAGCCCAGCGTAGCCCGGCCGCAGAGGCTACTTAATATTTGCCTGATTCGAGCTGAGCTTACTGCCGCCGCCTGTCCTGTCCTGTCCTGTCCTGCCCTGTCCTGTCCGTGGCCTGGACGGGCCTGGCAACTTCTGTGCGATTCTTTTTAATAAACTTCTTAGATAGAAGTTAAGCGCTGCAGCACTTCGATATGCCGCATCGCCGGCTTGCCCCATGCTCCATGCTTCGTGCAGTCGGGCAACTTGCTCGGCTTTTCCCACGCTGCTGTCCAGCCGACCAAAATTAAAGCCATTAGTTTACACTTTACATGCTAATGGCAAAGGTTCGAAAGGAGCCTGTCGCGTCCTTCACAGCCTGCCCCCAGGGGCAGGAGAGTAGCTCTGTTCGTGCTTCTGGTTAGCCGCCGAGCCAACTCAACTCCACTCAACTCAAGTCAAGCCAAGGCAAGCCAGCCTATCCTGCTGAATAAAACCAATGAACTTTTTAATTGCCTATGAACCCGACCGCCAATCCCTGTCTGTAGGCTCCAATTGCCATTCCTGTTCCCATTCCCGTTCCCATTCTCATTCCTGTTCCCGGTGCGCACACCAGTTAAGGCTCATCCGCTTTGCGAGTCGCGTATTCGAGTAGCCCGACGTTAGTCCGCTCTCAGGTCTGCGCACTGCCACAATTTCAAGTTTTACTGTTTGCTGTTATTTTATTTAGACAATTGGCGCCGTTACGGCCGCAAACATTCGCCCAAATTAACGACCTGTTTCGATTAGAGACGAGTGGCGTTTACTGCACTTTCCAGTTGCTCAGTCGCCCAATTGGCCAGTCGGACAGTCGGACAGCTGGACAGCTGGACAGTTGGACAGTTGGCCAGCTTTGAGACTGTTTATGGCCCGAGTAAATCATTTAAATTATGGCGCATTTGAACACACGGCTCAGCTCTATTGATTGGCTGGCAACAAGGTGCGCGTCTTGGCGACTTGAGATATGGCATTCGGTTGCGACAAGATGGTAAGAGTTGGCCAGAAGGCTGCTGGCTTTGCCTCTTACGTGGCGCAAGCTCAGCTCAAGCAGGGCCAGACACGTGGATGGGTCTATCGCTTAGAGGCCTATCAATTACTGTAGATGCTGCTTATCTCGATTCTTGGCTGGTAATCAGGGCAATTGTCACTTCACTTGGGTGCCCGCTGAGGCCGACCCTATCTCAGGTGGTCGGCATATGAAGTGGCTAATTAAAATAGTTAAATGTCATTTGACCCTAAGGGCTCCCGAACGGAACCTCAAAGGCGCGCATGGAGAGGCGCGAGCTAAACAAATTTGGCTGGCGCAGCAGGTGGCGGGGATCGGTGAATCTGGCCACTGGGACCGTCGGAGCCGTCGGAGCCGTCGGAACCGGGAAACTGATCACAGCAGGCGCTATCAACGACGGCGCTGCAGGTTCAGCACCTTTTGTGCGATAGCCGGCAATAAGTTGGCTACATCAATCGGAGGCGGTGTCATAATTTTCACAGCAGGTGTCGCTGCTAATGATTTACAGCGGTGCGAGTGGCGGGCAAAGAGCAGCATGCAGAGCGGTGCGAGTGGGAGAGAGACGGCGCACTTAGACCAACTGCAGAGTAACGAGCGCAACAAACTGCAGCGGTAGTAAAATGAAAACATGGACAAAAAAGAACCAAAATCTAAATTCGTTGTGGGCAGACGCGCTGCTCTTTGATGTCGCAGTCAGAGGGCTAGTGGAGAAACTAAGTGGAGGAGGGACCGTCAGTAACTGAGAGGGAGCGAGAGCCGAGATAATGGACAGCTCATTGTTGCTGTTGCTGTTGCTGTTATGGCCCAACAACATCAAGTTGAAAAACAATTTATTATTCGTTTTGTGTGTGTGCTGCATGTGTGTTTGTGTAGCTATAGGTATAGGTCTGTCTCCTTTCAATTTGGCCCGGTTAAGTACGGTTCCGATCGGCCTAAGCCCTTTCCCCTGCAGCCGCATTCACCTTTACAGCCACAGCCACGGCCACAGCCACAACTCTGTCCACAGTCAGGCCGTGGGGCGTTGCAGTGGCTCGCCGCGCTAATTTGGTCATGTTGGATGGCCGTGGAACGAAAGCCTGGCGCCAATGGCGCCCCCTATGGCGCACAAATGCTAAACAAATTGTTAAATATTGTAAGCGATTCGAATTGGGGCACTTGTTGTTTACCGTGCCAAACAATAGAGGGTGGACAGTGATGAAGCGTAGGTGTAGCTCTCACGTGAGCTTGTCATTCTGCATTGGCTATAAGTGAAAGAGACAGTTATTACTTCAAGTCTAATTGGTCTAAAGAGGACTTTCTTGTTGCTGTTACCGCAAGAGGATAACTTAATTCTAGCTCAAGAATGAAGTACTCCTTTCGGGCTTTGGAATTAGAAATAGGTAGAGGTGGAGGTATTATACTCACTGTTCAGTATGGACTAAAACTCGGTTCACAATTATCGTAAGCTAACCTGTCCTGGGTGTGCGTGAAAGAGATATTCATTACTTCAAGACATAGTAACAAAACTATATCAGCGCATTGGTTATAGATATCAAATATCCCACTCAAAGGTCGCTAGGAATCCCAAAACCTTGCCTTTAAGCCTATTTAGTCGTAATGAGTAGAAGTACGAGTCGCAATAACAGCAACAGTGATAATAACAGTAATAGTAACAGCAACAGTAACAGCTACAGTAACAGATACTTTAACATTAATAGTGTCGTTGACAGAATAAGAGATCAGCGAATTTCCTAGAAGTTATTCAATCTATGAGGCGTAGTTCTCATCGAGAGCTGCAGATAGCTAACTGTTGATTTGATTTGAGTTCCATGAGGTTTCTTACTTACATTAAGACATCTGAAGATGCAGCCTGACTGCCAGTTTTTCTATATTCGTGCATTGGAGCTGGCTGTTATGGAACTCAAAGCTGACCTTTTACCATAAAACTCGATTCACAGGTAACATAGGCCAATGTCTTATCGGGTGCAGAGCAGACGTCTGGTCGGACAAACTCTGACTTGGCTTTTAGCTGCTGTGCTAATCGATGAATCAAATCATCTAGCATTTAAATTTGCAGAGACTTGATTGACTGGCTAACTGATTAGCTAACTAACTAACTAACTGACTTACTGGCTTACTGCCTGCCCCGATATCATTTTGTATAATTTTCTTGCCACACACTCGAGCTCGCTCTGCACTCTGCAGGGAGCCATGTGCGCAGTTGCACGACGTTGAAATTGCTCCAATTATGTTGGCTCCGGTGCGGGCTGGGCCTGGCTTTGGCTCTGGCTCTGGCTCTGGCTCTGGCTCTGCTCGGATACGGGGCCAAAGTAGTTCGGTGGCCAACGTCGCGACGTTGGCTTTCTGTTTTGACTGCGCCGCTCATCCTTTCCACCATTCATTCTGTGCTCTGGCACTGTGACTGGACGTACTGGCCTCAATATCATTATACTGCCAGCGGGGCAGTGGCACCTCTCTGACATATTGCGCGGCGATAGCAGCCACAGCGACATCGCTGTAAACGCGCCACAACAAGTTTCGACCCGGCTACCAGAAATGGCACAATCGCCCAATCCCCCCATCCAATCGGCGCTCTCTGCCTCAAATCTCAGCCAGCAGCAATGCGGAAACGGCCTGAGCCGGCTATCGATTCGCAGTTGGCTATGAACCCGAGTGCGCTCCCTGTGGGTAGCTGGGCGACCCCGGCAATTATTCGACAAATAGCAGCTTCCGCGGCCTCAATCTGCGCCAGCCTGATTGCGGGCTGCCACGGCTAGCTGGCTGCTGCCTTAGCTGTTTCTCCTCCCACAGCTAATCTTAGCCGCTAAATTGGCCGCTAAGCAACGGTACAGCTGAACTGTAAAACACAGACTTAATGCTCTTAGACAGCTAGGCAGGCAGCCAGGCAGCCACTTGACTACTGGGTGGACAAAGCGGCTTCGGCTGAGTTTCGCGGGTCGATCACATTCGTGGCGGCTCCGTTGACAATTTCGGGTGGGGGCATCAAACAGATGCTGAAGCTGCCAGGCGAAATGTGTGTGACGAGGATCAGCGAAAGGATAAGCCGCCGACGTCCAACAGATTGGGCCTGGGCAGGTAAGGCTGAGCTGATCCTTGACCGTCGTCAATCACACTGCAATTTTGGCTACAGCTAGGGACAGTAATTGGAAGTGTTAGCCAGATAGATGCACAAGTGGCCAGGGGATGTTGCCGCATCGCTAGACAAGGCCAGCAGCAGCAATTCGTTCTGGGCAGGCTCAACAAAGCCAGGATCACAAATGAGATCCTATTGTTCTTCGGAGAGCGCAGGAGGGAGAGAGAGAGCGAGACCCAGCTGTGCGGAAGTCAAAGTCAACTAAATGAAATCACAGCACATGTTGTATGCATATGAGTGTGTATGTGTGTGTGTGTGTGTGTGTATGTAACTAAAGTTAGTTAAGAGCTATAAAAGCCAAGATCTAAAACGTCTTTCCTTGAATCGCTGCCATACAGATTGTGGTGAATGATTCCGATTACAGAGCTTCTGGAATTCCGTTGAGCTCTACTGAGAAATGCCGCTCGTAAAGGCGAGAGGCATTTAACGGGCATTAAAATGCGAAATCTCCGATATGATTTACGTTGCGAATTAATTTCGTGGGCCGACGTTGCGTCGGTGGCATTAAAACGGTTTTTGGATTTCGGTTTTTTGTTTTTGGCTTCCTTCTGATTGTGAATCTCGGCCGTCTCTGTTGATGTTGCTGGCAGAAAAGGAGCCGCAGCACAGGATATGAAATTGAGCATAACTAATTAGAATTCAAACAATTTTCAGATTCGAGCGAAAGACGCGCTTGTTAATTAAGAAAACTAAAGAGGAAGTTGAGCCGTTCCCATGGCAACTGCATTGAACCCAACTTAATGACGGTACCCCAATTTCTTCACGCTCTTTTTAGGATCATCCTAGTCTGCGCGGCACTCCACTGGCCATGCTGGCCGCCCAGTGCAACAAGCTGTCGAACAAATCGCCGCCGCCGCTGGCCGATGCGGCCGTCGGCAAGGGTTTCCATCCCTGGAAGAAGAGTCCCAATTCACCGGCAGCAGGTAGCAGCAACGCACCCGGCGGCGGCGGTGGTGCATCTAGCCTCAGCGGCAGCAGCAGCGTTGGCCAGCACTCGCCCTGCGCCATCTCGGCGGCAAGCTCGTCCAGCTCCAGCGGCAGCGGCAGCGGCGGAGGAGGGGGCGGCGGCGGAGGCAGCGGCGGGCAAACATCGCGCAGCCTCTCGTCCAGTGCTAACAGCAGCACTATGGTAAACATCACAGCTAGGTAAGCAGCACGACGGCGCACAGTGGTCCAATGTCCTGAATCTGGCTGAGCCAAGGATGAGCAAGCACCGGAGCCGGAGAGTGAGCCGGGATCGATCCATCGATTGGCATTACCTCCTCTTCAGGCAGTAGCTCCTCCCTCATTGAGGGTCCGCTTGCGTGCGCCCTTGGCTCAGCTAGCGTTCTGGCGGCTTGTGGACCACTGTGCGTTGGCTAGACAACGGCATGCTTTATACAACTTGTGAGTAATTTCAGCATATATCCTTACAGTCGTCCGCTCGCCTCGTCCTGCGCGGCCGTGGGCACCTCGGCGTCTGCCTACGGCAGCGACCTGTACTTTCCCAACACGTCCACGTCGTCGGGCAGCATGGTGGCCGACAATCATCACATGCACCAGGGGCTGTTGGGCAAGGTGGAGGGCGCTGCGTTCGGGTCGGTCTACTCGCGCCACCCGTACGACTGGCCCTTCAACGCGGTGACTGCGTCCGCCCACAAGGCCGCCGAGGCAGCCAGCGTCAACTCGGGCTGGTGGGACATGCACAGCGCTGCCGCTGCCGGCAGCTGGCTGGACATGGGCAGCGCCGCGGCGGCGGGCATGCACTCGACCATGGCCAACTATGCGAGCGCCGCGGCCGCTGGCACGGATTACAGCTCGGCGCTGTCGCACTCGCTGTCGAACACGGCCCATCTGCTGGGCTCCGGCCAGCACTTGCTGCAGGACACGTACAAGAGCATGCTGCCCGGGCAGGGGGTGGGCGGCTTCTCGCTGCCGCACAGCTCGCCGTCGGCGGCGGCCACGGCCGCCTCGCCACAGGCCTCGACCCCGTCCACGCCCTCTCCGCGCTCGCAGCGTCGGTATGCGGGCCGCGCCACCTGCGACTGCCCGAACTGCCAGGAGGCGGAGCGCCTGGGCCCGGCCGGCGTCCACTTGCGCAAGAAGAACATCCACTCCTGCCATATCCCGGGTTGCGGCAAGGTGTACGGTAAGACGTCGCATCTGAAGGCGCATCTGCGATGGCACACCGGCGAGCGTCCCTTTGTGTGCAACTGGCTGTTCTGCGGCAAGCGCTTCACGCGCTCCGACGAGCTGCAGCGGCATTTGAGGACACATACCGGCGAGAAGCGCTTTGCTTGCCCCGTGTGCAACAAGCGTTTTATGCGCAGCGACCATCTGGCCAAGCACGTAAAGACGCACAATGGCACGGCGCCGAATGGCATTAAAAAGGGCTCCTCGGAGTCGTGCAGCGACTCTGAGGAGGCAGCCAATCAGTCGGGTGAGTCGAACGGGTTGGGCGGCGCGTCCAGTGGCCAACAGACGGGCGCAGGTGGTGGCGGCGGGGGTGGCTCCGCCAGCTCCGGCTCCGGCAACGGCAGCTCTGGCTCCGGTGCCGGCGGCAATCGAGCTGGCAGCCATCCCGGCACCCCGACCTCGCTGCACGCGCATAGCGCCTCCAGCACGTCCAGCAGCCTGCTGGGCGGCGGTCTGCACCTGGCCACGCCGCACCAGATGGTCGCCGCGGGCGGCTCGCCGGTGATGCTGCATCAGCATCAGCAGCAACAGCACCAGCAGCATTCGCATCAGTCGGCGCACCAGCAGCAGCAACAGCAGCAGCAGCAACAGCAGCAACAGCAGCAGCAGCAGCAGCAACAACAGCAGCAGCAGCAACAGTTCTCGCAGCAGCAGTCCCATCCACACGCCCATCTGCATCACCATCACCATCACCTGGTGGGTGCATCGGCACCCAGTCCCGGCCTGGATCAGCGTCTGGACCACAGCGCCCTGGTCGACATCAAGCCGCCGATGGTTTGAGGATCGCTGGGACCCTTTTTGTTTACCAATTGAACAGAAATGGGTTCCTGGACGCAGTTCAATGTGCACCACCGTTGGGCGCATCTATAATTAGTGGGCGTGGCTCAGCACTCGACACACTAATGCTAATGACACACGCACGCACTCTTAAAAATATTTTTTTGTGGGTTTCGCATTTTTTTTTTTAATTCAAAAAAATAATTAATAGCTAAGCAATTTTTTTAGTATGTTTAAATAAATATTATGTGTACATAAAAGTGCTAAGAAACGCTAAATACAAGTACCCGCTATTTTAATTAACAAAAGAAAAGAAAATCAACTAAAAAGAAAAAAACACAAATTGCTAATTCTTAAAATAAAATGAATATATATATATATCTTAAAATCCTGCTTAAATCCTATTGTATATATGTATTTAATGTATTTCTAGATGTCTATACGAATATAGTTTCATATATATATATCAAACGATCCTCAAATTTACAATCATAAAATTATTGCTATTGATATAAAGTATGCTACAAAAAAAGTTTTTTTTTCATAGTTCTTAGGTAAACAATTATTAAGAGAAATGGATCTATTAATATGCGCAGCGTTTACAAAAGTTATATATGGATATACATATGATATGCTTAACACAATGGCAAGCTAAACTCGAAAATTAAAGAATTGAGAGAAAAATGAAAACAAATCTGATTTCAATAAAAGGTAAACAATTATTATTATTATTATTATTTGTTGAACATTATGTGAGCAATTCAAAAAATAGTTTAAACCTATATATTATTAAAATAATATTTCTAGTCCAATTATGCAAAAAACAAAACAAAAACAAATGAAAAAAAAAAAATAAAATAAAATATAATTAAAGCGATTATTTCTAAAACTAAGGATGATAAACCAAAATTGTAAATCAAAACAAAATGATTTGCTTCAATTGAACGGTAAATATGCATGACAAGTGTGAAGGAGGCGCTAGGAGGCGTGGCCAGTGCTTCTTCTCCCGCTATATGCATTATCTTAATAATTGTTAAATAAAAACTACTTTTTTTTTATCCACTTAAAATATGAATATATATATACGAACTATGCATACTATATATAAGACGCTAGTGCATTACAATTTTGCAACTAAATGTGTGTTTTTTTTTTTTTTTTTTTTTTTTTTTTTTTGTATTTCAATTTAACCAAACTTACATTTCATATATTAATGTATACGCGAATGGAGGAAAGAAATACAGAAAACAAAAACAAAAAACAATTAGGGCTTGACTAGTTTTTAACTCTTTAGCGAGATGAAACTTACTTAGCAACTTTAAGCTGTATATGTGTGCACGTATGTGCATATGTATGTGAGTGTGCACACGTATGCAGTTATATATACATATATGCATGTATGTGTATCTATATATATATAGATAATACTTTTTTTTTTTTGTCAACAAACAACAAAATGTAAATTAAATATTTAAAATAAATTTAAAAAAATTACAAAATTTTATTAAAAATAAATGTAACAAAACTTTCAGTTATGAACATTTGCTGTTGTTGTCCCTTGGACTCGGGCTCAATGAATATCAATTTGCCAGCAGCAGCCCGGCATAACGGGAATCGTATACGTGCTCTGCGAGCGCAGGACCATTGCATGGGGGGATGCTGGGCCGTACACTTCCGATCTGAGCCATGTGGATTGCGGGTGGTTGCTGGGCTGGATGTTTTGGCCGCTGGGTGGGTGGGCTGACAGTTTATTTAACATTTGACGGTCGGAATGCTGCATTGTGGGCGTCAACGGGGGCGGCCCGCCCAACCTTGTCGTTAACGACTTAAACGTAGAAAAAAGGCGACGGGTAGAAAAACGCTTTACGGTTTACGCTATTTGCTTTGGTTACGCCAGTTACTTATGGGGGGCCCGGCTGCTATTTGGGTGATTTAAATTTTATTACCGTGGATTTGTTGCCTGGGGTCGACGTCAGTTCAAATGCTCAAATGCTCGAATGCCATCAAGGATGAGTGGGTCGCCGGGAAATCGGGGTAAGGGCAGATTGAAATTGAAGTATGTGCAGATTGTTTTTGATTTGGTTTGCTTTTCCTATGCTTCTCTTATGAGTAGATTAAGCTGCGCATTTATTTTTCGGCTGGTATGCTCTGTGTGTGTTGTCAGTCCCGAGGGGGCGTTCAATTGCGTTGGTCGTGTGGGTGGCTTGGGTGGATCGGGTAGCTGGTGAGGTGGGTGGCTGGTGGCGGGTGACAAATGAATTGAAAATGCTCGACCGTAAATACATAAATAATAAATAACAACAAATAACGGTTATCTCTCGGTATGTCAAAGGTTAAATACTTGATGACACATAAATCCCCTTATATACATATAACAAAGAGAACTCACTTGACGACTGATTATTTCCCGTAATAGAATTAATATACATAACAGTATTTTTTATCTCATTGGTAGACAGAGTTCCACAGTGCAGATGGTGTACCAAATAAGTGGATCTCGAAGTGATTAATACTAAATGGCTTTAGTATGTAGATATAGACTATATAACAGGATTTCGATTAGGTGAGCGTTGATATATTTCACTTCTTTTCTTCAACTTTATTTCCTTGTTCCTTTTTCTCTAGTGGCCTCGTTTCCAGTCGTTGTATTTCTCTCTACATTTCTCTATCTCTTCCTATGTCTTCTATTCTGCTTCTCACTTTTTCTTTGTGCTTTCCATTTTGTCTTGTTTTCCCTTTGACCATCTGTTTCTCTCTTTTTTTCCAAAAGCTCTCCGATTATTTCAGTTTCCAAAATTTTCTGTTTTCTTCTCGATCACTCTTTTGATTCTCACTTTTTCCCTCATCCTTTTCCTGCTCCTCCTTCTCAAACTGTTTCTATCCTGTCTTTTGCTCTTATTATCTGTCACTCCCTCTCTATCTTTTTCTTCTCCTTTAACTAACCTATTCTTTATTCATTCAATCTCTTATTTCCGTTTCTCTCATTTCTAGTTTTCCTTATCTCTATTTTTCTATCTCTCTCATTCTAGATATCTCAATTTCCTTCTCTCTTTCTTTCCATATAAATTTATTTCTCCTTCGTCGTTTTCCTAAATTAATTGTTGTGTTTCTTTTCTCTCCCCAGCGTCGTCAATCTCACTATCTACCTATCGCCGTGCTATTCGTCACCTTTGCCTATAATAACAAATAACTCATTCACGTCTACTTTATCAATAAGTAATACCATATATATAAATTTTTAATTTGGGCAAATTAGAAAGCTTTAGCTCAGACTGCACGATTATGAGATCCCCTGAACTCTTCAAAGTGTTGTTATGTGATCAATACTGATTATATTTACTATTAATAACGCACAGAAGTTGAAGACAATTATGCAGTTATCTTCTTCAGCTTGATATATTCTAAATAGAATACTTTGAAAACTAAAGAGAAAATAATTCAAGTTGTTGTCAGATACTTTAAAGCTCTTACAGCGCACACAGTGAGTAAATTACTGTCTCGCTCGGGTGTCAAGTGAAAGATGTACGAGTCCCACTCAACGGCTGCCGAGTCCTGCTCCTGCTGTGCTGGAGCACCATTTGTATGGTCGCATTTCAAAAGAACGTCATGAAAGTTGTAAATAAAAATTATAATAGTACACAGCACAAACAGCAAACACAGAAGCAGAGGCGGCATGCGTTTGGCATCGGCTTGACGCACTCATGCCCAGACGCACCCCACCCTACCCCACCCCACCCCACACACACACACACACACTCACACACATACACAGAGAGCGTCAATGGCACTGGACATTGTAGATGATAAATGGGCGCTCAAAAGGAGCAGCATATGCTTGGATGCTAAATACCGTTTGCCAACAGTGTAAAACGCTCAGCACTCGAGGCTCTTCAGCTAAATCTGAGAAAGCTCAGATAAGTATATAACATGTATATATGTAAATATGTATACACTGTGTGTCTGTTTGTGTGCAAACATGATTTTCATATATCATTTAAGTGGCGTTAGGCGCCGCTAATCAGGCGCTCGCCTGAGCTGCCAGAGTGTGGGAGACTTGGAATTGGTAGCTGTTGGTTATGCTGCTCCACCAGCTGCACCCTCCCTCACTCCCTCGCTGCCTCCACCCCTCCGTTGCTCGAGTGTCAACACTATGTGTCGCTTGGGGCGTTGGAGTGACAGGGGTGTCGCTGGCACTTCAAAAATTTCTTAATGGCTGCTCGCCTCTGGCTCTGCGGGTGCTTCCTCCTTGTTCACACATTGTTTTCATTAAGCAGCACCAAAAATTTGGAATCTGCTGCTGAATGAGTGCGCGTAATCTGTTGTTGTTGTTGTTGTGGTTGCTCATATTTATTTGTTGTTGTTGTTGTTGTTGCTGTTTGTCGTTTGTCGCTGAGTTGTCTCTCGCTTGTCTCTTGTCGGGATTTCCACATCTGTTTGCATTTGACACGATTATTTATGTTTATCGCGCGTTAAATGCGGTCTATTATCAGCATAATAATCGTAATTAAAAGCCAACTAATTTATGGCAGTGATTTATTTACCCCGCATTCACGGCATTTTTTAGTTCTTCCTTGCTTTATGCTCAAATTCCATTCGCATTTTGGTTCATACCCTCTCCATCTCTCTTTCTCTCTCATACACACATATTTCAAATGGATCTCTGGAAAAAAAAAAAACATTTCAAATATGTAACTGACAGAAGGATTGCCGTTTTTAGACATAGTAAGTGTTCACAAATAGGTATATATCTACATATGTATATATCTATTTATATTTAAATCTATGTAAATATTGTCTAAGGAGCGCCTGTGTAATCTCGAGTCTGCTTAGGCTAAGATGCTTTAATATAATTATGATTTAGTAATGAAATTATGGAATTTCTGTATCACAAAGTGGAATAGGCAATAGTTACAAAGAAACTCCAGTTTATCCAAATAAGTTTGTATATATATAACCGGCAGACTCCATTTTTTTTATCTAAGCGAGTCTAAGCAGAGCTTGAACGTCTATAAGTCTGAAGCTTGAGTGTAACCTCGCCATAATGTACCGATAGACAAGCTTATGATTTAGGTTATAACTCATTGGACTACCTTATTATCGATAAGTATCGACACATGTATCTAACTCTTTGACGTTTAGCTGAAATCCTGAATAACATAATAA